TCTCTCTCTCTCTCTCTTTACAGTCATAAAAGTAATCAGATTACTGTTGGGACCTTGCAGGGTCTGTCTCTGGGGTGGGAAGAAGCAGGTGAACACTGCTCGGCCCTGGTCTCGGTGGTTTTAGGCCGTATTTCTAACTTGAGGCTGCTGTGTCTCAGCTGGTTGTCAGGGCAACCGAGACGAGAGCAGTTCTGGTGTTTTTTTGGCTTATCTGGGTGGAGCGCAGCAGTTTCTTTTCCTCCCCTGCATCTCTGCCCTCTTTCTTCTCCCTCTCTTCAGCGACTGGGGCAGCTGGTGGGAGGTGGTGGGTGTCGTGTAGCTTAGCAACTCCCTCGGTGGACGGCTCGATTGATATGCAGCTTTGTTCAAGTGTCTCTTCTCTCTGAGCCAGAGAGGGGGACGCCTGAACAAAGCGGGCCTTATTGAAGCTTCCCCTCCTCCTTCTCTTTGCCCAGGCACAGCGACGTGGGAGGACAAATATTTCAGCTCAAAGGAACTGAGACTCAAACTTAACAACAGCGGCCCCGAAAGTGTAACTCGAAGTTGGGGGGGGCTGCTGACATCTGTGAGGGGCCTCCAGGTGTCCCCCAGCTAAATTAAAGCATTATAGTATTCAAACAGAGGTTGTCTGTGTACTACAAAGTTCTTAATTCACTCCAAACAATCAATGGAAATTAAATTAACTGGTTAAATCTCTTTCTGCCTGGGTCTAATATGAGCATTTGGTGTATGTGATATTAAAATATCTGATATTTATATTCAATTATTTAAATATAACCTCCTCTGTGTGTTTGTATATCTGCTGTATGACTCACTCAGGAGTTGCCTGTTTTATTAAGTTGTGGAAACCAGGAAGAAAGACTCAACTTCAAATGTTTATTGAGTAAAAAGTATAAAATGGACAGTCAATATCAAACTCAAAGGAAAAAAGTCTTTTTTTAAAGGAACACTTCTTTATCTCCCACATTGTCAGATGAGATCAGTTTGTGGCACTCTTGGATTCTTAAAAATATGTTGGATTGATGTTTTAAGTTACTCTTGGATTAGTCTAAGAACACGAAAATGCTCATGAGAACGCATCTTAAACCTAAACAATTCACATAATACCTGTCCCAGAGTTCCTGCTGAGTCAGGTTCAGTGTCGGGACACTTGACTCCTTTCTGGTCCCAGAGGACCAAATATGAGCCGGTTCTGGCCCAACCACAGCCGGCAGGTTTGGCTCGGGATTAGAGGAGTTTAATTGTGCTGATTTGGAGGCCAGCAACCAGAATCAAAGTGATCTTAACTGGACTGATTCAAGGTGCCTTCAGGTGGTGGTGTGTTCACTGTGTTGAATTTGTACTTTGTATGTTTTTTTTTATCCTTTTTTTAACGCTGTCTATTCATTTCTTGTCCCTGAACTGATTCCTGAAAATCAAAATGATTCACAATTCGTGAAATGGGAACAAGGTAACATCATATTTTTACTGTCTGTCTCCAACAACACCTGTATTAATTAAAAGTCACCTGCTGACAGCTGACGGGCCGTTATCTAACGATTGTTGAGTGACCAAAAGTTTCTTGAGATCTTTGAAACCTTCATCTCTTCCTTCTGATTCACTCATTGCTGAAAGTTCTTTTTCTTCTTCAGCTGCAAGATATAACTTGAGTTTGTTAACTTTAAGTTCAGATGAAGTTCTGGTGTTTTGGTTTTGTTAAAATTAAATGAATTGTGTAGCAGTTAGCCTGCTAGTTAAATACTATCAGAAGAGAAAAATACACCTTCCACAATTATCAATATACAAGATTTACATGTTGTATCTCGTTTATTGAACACTTGTAGAAAGAGAAAAGTAAAGATGACAATTTTTACTCTATTTTAATATCTTGAGTTGTGGGCGCAAGATCCATATGTTCTGCATACACATAATTATATATCTTATACCTGATCAATATCTTGACCCATATATTATCTTGCACAGACAAGATAGTGTATCATATCGCGATCAGTTTCTGGTAATAATGAGATAGAAAGTAAAATAAATGACATGGTTGTTGTGCCCAGAAGAGATTGTAACATTATTATTATAATGAAATCTATAATCTTTTATAATCTAGGTTTTAAATTGAGTTTCTGGCTGTAAATTACAAATTAAAATACCTTTTTTTTGATAATTTTTTAGGTCAATATCAGTTAAAAAGAAAAAAGAAATACTTGGGTCGGCAAGAAATTCTTGTCTGCTCTCCCCAGTAACTGGTCACAGAGCGACTGTTTATTATGTCTGCAGAAACTCAAAGGCCAACTGTTATTGTGAAGCTGTGACCTTCAATAATTGAATAATGACAAAAAAGGAACGTCACAGTCGGGCATGAGCAGCTTTTCTCCTTCAGTGGGTGTCGAGATCGCTGCTGCGTAGCATTCCTTCCAGTGGAGATCAGAGTCAAACATCTCTCTTTTTCCAAATAAAACCAAATCCACGAGGATCCTCCATAAAAGTTCAGGTGGTTTAAGAATTACTGGAACTCTTCTGTTTCACTCTCTGTCTCTCGGACTGTTTTTCCTTCTTTGTTTGGACAACAAAAACATTTCTCCTTCCCCCATTTTTTTGTGTTTCTCTATTGTTTTTCTGTCTTTTCTCTCTGACTTTCTTTGCACTCTTAACACCAGATTTAACTCTGAACTGGACCTGCAAGTCTGCAGATTTAAATCAAATGCTTTATAAGAAAAATGTTTATATTTTACAACAAAATATCAGTACATTTTAGACCGTGCTGACAATGCACACATACTCTGTTACTGTTTTTGTACATATATGTAAAAACATACATTAAGCTTTAGTTTAACAGGTGGCGCAAACACTCTGGCAGCCACAGCAGCTTACAATGTAATTTGTTTAGAGAACTTACAGGATATGACTGAAGCTATTTTATATTTTCTTATTATCAACAAATCCAACATACAGACCAAAACCAACACTGTTAGTCTCTCAATACTTTCTGACTTCCCTCCTCTCTCTGTTTAATATGTAAAAAAGGCTCAGCTGGGCACTATACTTATAAAACATAAAACATTACTCAGAAGGAAATAGTTCCTTTGTTGGGGATTATTTTCAGCAGTTTATTAATCCACATTATTAATCTACTGAGTGTTTCCGGCAGCAGGACGATGTACGTGGGACTGAGTCAAAGAGTGAGATTCATTTATGTGTTTTTAATAGTTTTTGGACAACAATGGCACAGAGGAAGAACACTTTGGATACACAGACAATGTTAGTAGATACATTCATCGTTGGTTTGGTCTGCACTTAGGATTTATGGACAATAAGAAAAACATAGAATATCACCAGACCAGAAGTGATTCTGCTGCTGGAACAAATCCACTAAAACGTATAAATTCCTATTTAAAACAATAAGTAAAAAAAAAAAAAAAAAAAAACACTTTCATAGTTTTACTGAACATATTGTAAAAAGTGTAACTCAGCTTATTAATATTCCCATAATTAGTGTAATAAAAAGCTCTGTAAACACAGATAGAGCATTCATCAGCAGCTCTACTGATTATAGCAGTTAATAAAGTTTAAAAAAGACATTTTAAAAATACAGGGAGTTACTTACAGGTGATGCAGAAAATCTAAACTTTACTAAACCAATAAAAAGTAGACCAATAGAAAAACTTCACACTGGATTGTTTCCCGTAGTTATAAAATGATGATTGATCTCTAATATGACCTCATCCCATTGTTTACCTGCTGTGGGGACGCAGTGTAAATCAGGTGCAGCAAAACAGCAAAATCATGTTTTAAAAAAAGAAAACAGCTCACAAAGTTCACAGCAGTCAGTCAGTCTGCAAAAAGTCTCAGTGTGTGTCTACAGTTTCAGTTTATCCACATTAAAAACCCCCCGAACTCTCTAATACAGTACTTAGATCAGATAGTACTAATATCCTGATGAGCATTAGAAAATTATTAATAACTATAAAATGTATCACAAAAACAGGATTAAAGTGGAAAACACTAAACTCTTTAAAAAAAACCAGAACATCCTCTATACTGAATATAATCTAACACTCCTACAGTTCATACAGACATTAAAGGGTTTCATTCTGGTTGTTCATCATCTCCATCAGTCATACTGATATTTCTTTCTAGTTAAAAGCCGAGATCTGAGAAAAATGGTGATTTCACGAATATAAAAAAACGTCTGACAGGTCAAGAAACAGAAACAGTCCGATGATCAAACAGGTTGGAAACAGTCGACATCCATCACAGTTACTTACTGTTTCCACTTTAACCTACTACACTCACCGTAGTTGTAGTTTTACCTTCATTAAAATGAGTTTCACTGCCAGGTAAAGGGGTTTACAGACTATGGGCATTAATCTGCTGCTACATCAGCCTCCACTCTTCTGGTTTCATTAGATGTCGACCCCGACTGCAGGGCTTCACTCCCATTCAGCCACAAGAGCATCAGTGTTTGTTCTGGAGGAAAACAGGATCAAACTGAAAATATCAGAGTATGTTAAAGCATAAAGATTTTACCTTCATAGGAACTAAAGATACCAAAACTGAACCAGGAGAAACAGACAGATATACAGAGTGTGATCTGGATAAACTGTTTGTGTTTCCCGAGTTCTTCTTAATGAAATCAACGTGCCCTCAGATCTCCGCTATTAACTTAATGAGTGCAATATTATTACTATAACTGCTGGAAACGATGGATAAAGCAACAAAATGAAGACCCGAGTCGTAATAACCCTAAATGATGTGTTTAAATGGAGTCGTGGGCCTCAGCAGGGCGTCCCGATGGCTGTCGAAGAGTCTCTCGCTCTGTCGTAGCACACTGCTGGTTCTGCTGCCAACATGCTCTTCGTCTCCTCTTTGCTGGAAGGAGACAGGGAGGACGGAGAGGGCGACGTGGGCGAGGAGAGGTTGGAGGTGGCGGTGGTGGAAGCGGAGGAGGACGAGGAGGAGTTGCCGTCGGGGAGGCACTCTTCACAGCAGCAGCAGCAGCAGTCCATGAAGGCCTGGCCCAGCGAGCGGCACAGGAACAGCAGCAGCACCGGGGTGGCCGAGCAACGCAGGAACAGCAGGAACTGTCCCATCAGACCCAGCGCGGGAAGAACCAGAGCCGGGAGCTGAGCGGACACGTGGTCGGAAACGTACGCCAGGGTGATGTTACAGACGCTCTCCGGCAGGTTGCACGCGATGTACAAGACGGTGAGTGCCACCACCGTGGAGC